GATAATGCCAGTGAAAGCCCCTCCTTTGTAAAGTAGAAGGAGCCACATATGTTAATTATCCTTCAGAAGGCATTTGTGTGCTTAACTATTCTTATCTTGTTTGTAAGTATCTCCTTCCCTAGCTATTGTGGATTGCAGAGTACTCAAGACCAAAGCAGCAGTGTGTCAGTGTGGCCTGCTGCCTCCTCCTCCAAGGTGGTTTACCACCCCAAGCTCTGCAACCACCACCAGCATGCCCCATGCTCAAAACCTTGGCTTTGCTTTTCAGTCTGCCATGAACCAGGACTAAAAAAAAATTCTTTAATTCTTAACTACATCCTCAGTTTCCCCCTCAGCTCTTCTCCTAACCAGGTCCCTAAACCTTTGCAACTTGTCTGTGCTCAGAGAAGGGATGTTAATTCATATGTTAGAGAGAAAAGAACCCCAAAATAAGCCATTACCGATAAAACAATTTAATTTTAAAAGAGGATATCAATTTTTATAATGAACTCTGCTTTAAAGAAGAAACACACACACACACATACACACACACCATACAAATAAAACAACAACCACTTGTGGGGAAGTATAAACCTCCAGAGTCAGGCATCAGGTTTCCTTGCAGGGATGGGGACAAGGTGAGCTAATTGCACTGGGTGCCTTGGGGGAGCCTCATGATGGCTCAGAAGTGGGAGAGGCTCTAAGACTTCCTTTTGTTGACTGGCTGGCGTTGAAGGCTTTATAAATGATGTGCCCCTGTGGTTCCCAGTCACTTCAAGGCTGAAACTCAGGTTCCTGAGACTCAGGAATTGCTCCCAATAGCCTTAAATTTTGGATTTTCCCACTATTCTGATAGGTCTATTGCTAGTCTCGCACCTCTGTTATTTTAAACATGCTTACACTGAGAAATACAATAAAAGATCAATGTATATACCACAGATATCTAAACCTCAAAACTCCTCCTCTTGTTTTTCCCCCAACACCAAAAGCACCTCCTAGTCTAAAATCGACACCTGATGATCAACAACACTAAATTAATATCAGTCAACAGTGATGGTGCTAAAGCCTTTGAAACTTACAATTCTGTACTGTGCATGTGTGTGCACACGCACAAAGGCAGGCCCTAGGTAATCTGGTATTCTAACTAAACAGCAAGAACCAGCCTAAAGGGTGTTCAACAAACACTTGTTGACTGATGGATGGAAAGTGCTGATCCAATACGCCTTAGACAATGCGGTCTTTGTCAAAACACTAAGGTACATTGTTGAGCCCACTTTTATTACCTAGCGTTTTTCTGCTGTATTGAAGGGAATAGGCCAGCAGAAAACTTGTCTGCCAGCCTCTGAGCTCAAGTCCACAAAAGAAAGCCTAAGGCCTTACCATTCACACCTGTTTTCACTCTCAAGGCAGAGGCAGAGGCGGGGCCTAGTGTTCACAGACAATGCCCTGCAGTGGGAGGCACAGGCCTAATGCAAACCCAGCTAAGTATCACCTTTGACACTGTCTACAATTCAGACCACAGCTGCAAGGAACAGTTTGTGCACATTTCCAAGAAGGAAAAGGGGGAAAAAAATGGAGCTGAGTTAAGAGCTGAAGAAAATATAGTATTGTAAATGATTTACAAAGCCTGGTTATGTCTTCACATCTTCCTGCTTCTTTCTCCAGGAGACTTCCTTCCAAAGAGTGAGGTAACTTGGTCCACACAGCAGTGAGCATGTAATTCAATTAGGTCCATCCAATTCAGTGGATCCTTCCAGAAAGTACGCCTGTGCTCATGAACCTTACTCCTCTCTACAGCCTCTTCTCCTCGTGCCTCTCTAGGCCTTCAGGCTGGGCCTCCACAGCTTTTTGAGAAAAGGATGAATTGTCTTTTCTCCCTTTTGTGCCCTGCCTCTGGGGCTCTTGCTCACCTGGCCTGACTTTTGACCTATGGCTTGGCTTTCCTGTGATTTTAAGGCCCCTGCCTTTCCATAGCACCATTCACCTCACCTCCACTGCCCACCTGCTCCCTAGTTACCAGGTTTCTCTGCCTGATATGACCTGATAGCTCTTTCTGACTTAAGCAGTTTTGATGTGCAGCTACACTGGAAGATACTAATGGCCCCCCACACTATGTTTTCAATAGCCAACTTGTCTTGCACTTATAGCTTCTTTCCACTAATCAAAACCCCTTACTCCTTGCCAGGTCCTCCTACTTATTTCTGTGTGGCTACTGTTTTGTTATTTTGAAAAATGTAAACAAATCAATATGCCTTTCTTCCCATCTTTTTTCTAATTATCAGTAGGAGAGTGCAGAAAGAAAGGAAGGGAAAAATAAATGCAAGATTGACCTTACTCATCTAAGGAGTTCTCTTACACTCAACACCTAAACCCTCTCTCCCAATTCTTGCTTGGAATCTTGAGTACCTGATCGTGAATGTCTCTGGCGCTCCCAGAGCACAGGACTGGCTGGCAGCCATGTGATATTGATTTGTTTTTACCATAGCAACAGCAAATTAAAACAATGAGCAGAGAGAAGGCAGGCTGTTAAGCAGTAAGGCTACATGACCAGGATATTTCACAAGCATATTTTTCTCCTTTCCTCTTGTTTTCTTTCATAGTCACTCTACTTTCACAAATTTAATACAAAAGTCAAAGTAAAAATAGCACTAAAAGCTTTGGGCACTACGAGGCCTCTCACAAGACTGGTCTGGTTTACGCATCTTCTAGTATATTAGATTGATGGGGAAAATGCAAACATATTCTCTGATTTCTTTGGAAATTTTATTTGTTGGCCTACGGGATAAATAGTCCTAGAAAATTCCCATGAGCACAGAGTGAAGGGTTTCATATATGACATGTATCTTAATACCCCAAGGCATGTCAACTGATTTTTTAATACCCAGGTTCATCCCTTTGTACTTTAAATAGCTTATTGTGCCACGAGACAAACAACTTTTTTTTTTTTTTTGGTACAAGGTCAAGGTCTCCTAAAATGATGGAATTCTGAGAGAAAGTGTAGCATGTATTATTCAGTTCTATTAAGAGATAGAAAAATTGAGGTAGGCACTTGCTCAAGGCTATATAATTGGTGGGAAAGTGGGAGTGTGAACTCCACTGTGTCCTAACCAAAATTCTTTCTTCAAAGGTGGCCTAGTAAACACTAACCTTCCCCCAAGCCATACGAACAAGACCAAGTGCCACCTGTGACATGGGTTAATTGTACTTTATTTCCTTTGGGCCATCTGCCCTACGACCTGGGGCTTTATCTATAAAAGCAGCTGTTCCCACCATCACAACTACCCTTGAACTTGGTGGCTTAACCTGGAGCCTAGATAATGGCTCCAGGAGAAGTGGGAACGAGGCCCTGGGGAAGGTCCACACAGGTGGCAGTGTACCATGGGGAAGTCAGGCCAGAAAAAAAAGCCGAGCTCAGCTCCCCAGGGCTTTTCAGCAGCCAAGCCAGAAGCCTGCAGAAAACCTGTGCTGGGGGGGGGAGGCAGGTGGGAAAAGGTACCCTATTTCTGAGGGGGATGGGTTGCAGGTTTACAAAAAGGACAGGTTAAAATGCAAAGACAAAAACTCAGGTCCTGCCAGTCGGGAGTGAGAATGTTCCTGGCCAGGACATAGAAGAACTATTTCTCTCCACAAGCCGAATAAAAGAAAACCCAGCAGAAATAGTTGGGGGATGACGTCAGAAGTTCTGGGCTAGTGTCCTGCACTTCTCCTTGAAAGTAAAAACAGTGAGTCTAGAAGAATCGACGTGGCATTGCCCTTCTTTCAGTGAGCACTGCTGCCCCTCCAAACCAAGCAGGAGAGTGGAAGAAACTTCCTTTTGCTTAGAGATTGTAAGAATGTCCTCTCTCTTACACTGCTTTTTTTACCATATTGTCCTCTGATACACATATTCTTAATTAATAGTATCTATCCTCAACCTTTGTCTTTTAAAGAGACAGTAATGCTTTTGAAACACCGTGGTGGCAGTTAGGCAACTCAGATTTTTTTTTTTTTCTTCGCTTCAGTGCTTGCTAACTATTCTAAAAATGTTACACGTTTATTGTAAACACATGCTCCCCAGGCCTAACAAAAAGCAGTTTCCTCACGCCGGCCAGGCAGAAATTTAAAACGGAAAAGGGCAAAAAAGAATTCTTTAACAAATACATCCTTTCCTTCTCCTGGGCCAAGTATGTTAAAAATAAATCTTCTCCATCATTTCTCACCGCTGCTTCTCGGCAAGAAAGTTGATATGGTTGGGCACCGTGAAAACCCAGCTTTGAAAGCTAGCCTGCTCTCATTAAATTATTCTGCTGGCTGTGTGTTCTCATTAAAAATGCATACAGATCAGATAATTGCAATAAGCACTATTAACCTAGCTTTACTTTTGAGTATACTGGCTCCACTTTTAAGCTGGAAACAAAGGCTCAGACGTGCCAGGAAAAGAAATGTAAACATTGAAACTACAGTATCCAAAACTTGCCAGAAAGCTCGGTGGTTCAAAATGTGCTTTTGAAACTCAAATCAAGCCGGAGCACTGTAAATGCTCCCTAAAACCTAGGGGAGGTCCCTCCTTGCCAATAGATAGACATATTTGTGGCCCCAACATTCAACTGATGATTATCATGAAGTTTTTTTTTAAATGCTTAATCGTAAGTCTATTTTCAAATAATTGGATCTCTGTAAACTTTATGTCGGCGTGAACATTTTCTATAACAAGAAAATAAGAGTGCTGCTCCCGAGATTTCAAATGCTTTCTTAAAAAATAAATAAATAAATACGAAGCGGATCTAGTCTTTAAACTAAAAACTCGGCTTTCTGCCTTTACCCCCAAACAGGAGGCACAGATTCAAGCTTTGCCATTTCTTCTTCTCAGATCAAAAATGTTACGTAAAACTCCAAGCTGGCCTGCGAGTATTACGTGGAGTTGCTGGAATCCAGTCTCCCCGGCTTCTCTAAGCGACACACATGGAATGCAGCAAACTGCAGCAAACTCTTTACACACTCAAAAAAAACAACAAAAAAAAAGAGGGCGGGGGTTCTCCTACCTTCTTTAGCTCTGCTTGTCCTCTCCCTGTACAGTAACCCCAGGAACATCTGGCAAAACCAAGTGGCCCAGGCTTCTCCACTGCATCATGAGGAAGCAATGTGCGTGCAAACAGTTCTCCTCGCCCGTGCTGTGCTCGGAAAGCCGCCTGCCTGCCGTGCCTGGAAATTTTTACCTTCAGATGATGAAGCAAAGACAGTCTAAACTCTGTTGCTGTGCGCTGCAGCCCTGCCTTCCCGCAGGCCCCGCCCCCCGCGGCCAGCCAATCACAGGCCAGCTCGTCAGTGCCCCTCGTCGGAAACTGGCCCTCATAGGATGACTGACACAGCAACACAGCGCTTGCAGCGTCTGAAAACAGTGCATCCATACTGATGAAAGAGGAATTTCCCTCTCCGAAGAAAGCAATCAGAGCTCCAAGACAAAGTGGCACACAATTGGCAGCGCAGAAGAGGGGTGGCTCAGGAAAACACGCTTGCAGACAGCCAGCCCCCAAGCCAGTGGCTGCACAGTAAACACTTTGCAAAACACGAAACTCCGCAGATTTCAAAGACATCCATCCAGATCGAACCCGAAACTGAAGTCCTTACACCGTTTGACAATGCCCATTGGATAGCTATATTATATTTTGAAAGAAAAACGATTCCGTGTCTGCCATGGAAAGGAATACCTTACAGAATATTTGCATACCATTTCCATGATGGAGGGAGAATGGGCTCGCCCAAGTGCATATATTCAAAATCAAAACATGGTTGTGAGCCCTGGCACACGAGCCCTCTGTAGAACAGCTGTCATTGCAGGGTTAGCTACAGTGGCCCATATATCTTTCATCTGTGTTTTCAGACCACTGGGGCCTTCAATTAGGGAATGCTAAACGATAAAATTGATATCTGTGTATTACCCATTTGTGCTCTTGGCAGGCACCCAGAAGAGGGTTAGGTGTGCCTTAACCGTCTGAGATGTCATTTAATAAATACCACGCAGTGGCCCACTTTTGTCATTAATAAAACAGTGATTACAGGATGGTGTTCACTGCTGAATACACGTAGCACGTGATCCAAGGGTCCCACTCCACAAAAAAGTGTCCCAGAACGTGCTGGGATTCCCTGAGATAAAGCAGGAAAAAAGAAATGGAAGGGTTAGGTACAGTTATTGTTCTTTCCCCAGTCACCAGCATTTCTGCATATGGCATTTAGAAAATACAATAGGCACACAGTCTACTTCCACTAAACACAAGTTTTTGAATTTAAAAAATTAAGTATGATGACTCCATGAGTAGATGGAGGCAGGAACAAAGGCCCCTATTTGTCTGAAAAGTTGAATCCAACACTATTTTGTTTATAAGCAACTGTTTAGTGCATCTGGAATGAAGAAACAGGATGGGATGTAATGGTTCCTTTTTGTTTTGCCAACTACATCTTAAAAACACATTGCATATGACTCGTGGACTATTTTCTTCAATAGAATATTATGCGTTATTCCTCTTAATTTTTATACTTACACTTTTTCATTCCCATATAAATCCATCATATGTCATAATTTGCAGGTTTTCATCTATTATAATTTTTCTGGAAATTCAAATTAGCTCTGTGGTCAAACAGGTAGAAATTTTTAAAAAGACATCAGTATATTTATACTACATGCACCAGAATGACTCAAGTTTATGGTTCACCTCTTCCCTGTTTCCCTCTGATTCTGATCTTGAAATTCCCATTCCTCTAATATTCCTGATACTTTAGTCATCTTTGACCCTCATTCTCTCTCAAAGAAATGAAGTCCTGTTTGATTTTTCCTCCTGGCCAGTCCAGAACTCTGACCTCTTACCTGAACGATACAAATGCCTCTGGAACTTAGGCCTCCTCCTTAACCATTGGTTTCCCTGTTGCCAGACAGGTTTTCCCAAGTCATGTAAAGTCATGTTCCTTTCATACTCAAACCCTTCCCTCCATAAAACCCAAATTATAGACTTTCAAGTTCCTTCAATAAACTGGTCCCTCCCTTTCTACTCAACTTTGCCTCTGCTGTTTTCATAAATGAACTTTCTGATGGAGGCACTCTCTTGCTACTTCCACGTTTATTTCTGTGTCGCCCAAGCTGTAGACCTAAGTTTACTTCTCCTTTCTTCTGTCATGTCATCCCTGTCCATATCAGCTTCTCCGATTGTTCTCCTTCAAAAGCATTCTACGGTGTTCATTGTAGCAGACCATTTTAAACCTTAATAATGTATCTTTGTCTGTACAAACCTTCCCTTCTCAGAAGGCAAGGTTTGTGTCCTACATTGTGTAAAATAATGTGCACAAAACGTATTCAGTGGCTGGCATGTGATAAGTGTTCACTAAATGACAGCCATTCTCATAATTATTTCTACATTCTTCATTGTCCTTAGAAAGATGCCATGCTCAAAGTTGCTGGTTTCATGATTCCTACCTTAAGAATTGACACCATACTTACTTAATTGGATAAGCCAACCAGTCCATCTTTCTTGACCTTCTTCACTGACCATTATTTGAAATCCATTATCAAAGTGTGTCAAGTTTAACACCTGAATATTTCCCTTTGTTCTATCTCTACCCATACGACATTGTCCAAGCTATCCGTGTCTTATTCTTTGACTGTTGACATACTCTCTTAAATGGTGTCCTGAAAATATCCTTGACTCCTTTCAGGCCTTTTACTTATTTCAGCCAGAAGAGGAATTCAAAATTACAAACTGTATTTTTCACACTCCTTTGCTTAAAACTTTTACCTATGGACCGAATTATGTCCCCCACAAAATTCAGATGTTGAAGTCCTAACCCCAAGATGTTGGTATTTGGAGCCAGGGTCCTTGGAGGCTCTTGAGTTCATGGGGGTAGGGCCTTCGTGATAAGATTAGTGTTCTTATAAAAAGGGACACTAGAAAGAGATCTCTTTCTCTTCACCATATGAGGACGCAGTGAGAAGATGGCTGCCTGCAAGCCAGGAAGAGAGCCTTTCCCAGAACCTGACCTTGCTGGCTCCCTCATCTCAGAGGTCCAGCCTCCAGAACTATGGGAAAATAAATTTGTGTTGTGTAAGCCACCCAGTTATGGCAGCTAAAACAGACCATACTACAGCCTTTAAATATCTTTGAGTTGCTCTTTGGAAAAAGATGAAAGTTCTCAAACTAGCCTCCCAGGCTGTGTCCCATGAGCCTTTAGCCTAATAGGAAACCATCCTTTCAAGGAACCCTTCCCTGGCCCACAGGATGAACTGAGGTCCACCTGTTGTTTTCACTCCCAGCCCTGTACACTCCAGAGCAATGCTTCTCAAATTTTAATGCAAGTCCTCCAGGGATCTTGTTAAAATGCAGATCCAGTCTCGGTAGCTCCTAGGTGGCGAGGGAGATTCTGCTTTTCTAACAAGTTCCCAGGTGATATTGATGCTGCTTGTCCATGGGCAATTCTTTGAATAGCAAGATTTTATAGATGCTGTTCACTTCATAGCTCTTATTATGGGGTTTGGTTTATACATTGATTTGGTTAATTATTTACTTAAGGGCTGCCTTCCCAGTCAGCTTGTTAGCATCAGAAGTCACTAAGTTCTCTCCAACATCTAATCTTTATGTGCCCTGCACATAGGAGGAGCTGATCAATGACAAATGCACGTTAAATGAAAGAATTCACTGATATAATGACCTACAGATCCATAGTGGATTTTCCTTTCTTCTCTTTTTCTTCTTCTCCTCCTCCTTCTCCTCTTTCTTTTCCTTCTTTTCATAACTCAATAGAAGTTTCTTGAAAGTGTGCAAAAAAGCTTAATCTTTATTGGGCTATAATATGCTATGTAGAAAAGGAGAATGGTTGAGAAATCAAACATAAAACAAGTATCAAGAAGATGATTGCTGGGCAGGGTGTTGTACCACTTATTATCCCAGCACTGTAGAGGTGGAGGCAGGAGAATCATGAGTTCAAGGCCAGCCTGGGCTACATTGTGAGTTCAAGGCCATCATGAGCTGCATAGTGATATCCTCTCTCAAAAACCCAAGGACTGGGGAATGTAGCTCAATGGTACAGCACTCGCCTAGCATGTGCAAAGCCCTGGATTTGACCACCAACACGGAAAAACAACAATCAAAAACAAAACAACAACTTTGTCTAAAGTAAAGGAGGGGCCAGAGGAACTGAAATAAAAGACAACAACTTTGATTTGTCCAACAGAAGTTATCAGTTGCCTTCTACAGGTTAATGAATTCCAAGTCTATAAATCCTTTCCTTTCTTTTGACAATTAGGTCCAATTCCTCACTTGAATGTACCAAGATAACTCATCTTCCTTGTCTCCAGCTAAAGTCATTTCATACTAATTTTAGAAATTTTGCTGAATTTTTATTCTATTGCAGTATTTCTAGTACCGAAGACATTCAGTTACATAATAACAAGCTAAATAGTTGAATTGTTAGATGGATAAACTTGATTATGGCACTAGTGATAGAAAAGGGCAAAAACAGGTGCAAGTCTCAATGAAAACATTAATAATGAAGCCATCAATAGAGATAATGGATCTATGGATCTGGTACACACACACACACACACACACACACACACACACACACACACTCACATACTTATGTTAAAGTTGTACTGGAGAAAGGAAAGCACATCTAACATAAAAGCTGAATGTAAAATATCCCTCAGAATCCCTTGTGAGCTCACTATACTTCCCCAGGGTGCCTGATAGACAGTTTCGAAAACATGACACCAAAGCAAAAGTCCCAGACGGTTGGCCAGCACCACTTGTCTCATTGTTTTTTCTAGAGTGATACTTGCATTATGCTTCATGTCCTTGTACCCAAGGGCATTTGAAAAGGTCAGGCCAGAAGTTACTGACATAGCCAGCCCTGAAGCTGAGATCATTTGAAATCTTACAGTTCTTTGAGATGTGGGTGATGCCTGTTACTCTCCAAAATTGCAAAAGACCATGGGCCAAAGAGAACAGGAGGCAAGGAACAAGCTGGCCTGCCACTTGTTACAACTGGGGAGCTGGCCAATGACCATTTGCTACCCAACATACCAAACTGTGAAGGTAAGTGCAGAATGGAAGCAATGCTGAGCATTTTCCTCTGCTATTCATCTCAGTCGGGTTGTACACATCTTTGCTGCTCATCTCCACCTTACTCCTAGGCTGGCTGGGGATCACCAGGTATCACTCATTTGCTGCTCTGTTGACTTGTGTTTCACCCTTTTCCTACAAGAGAAGGT